TTGGGTTTGGGTTTTAAAGGAGGGAGAGGTCGGAACCGTGAAGATCGAGAGGGTGAAACTAGCAAAACGCCGTCAGGCTTCAACTTTCAGCCCCATCAGAGCAGCTCGTTTGGGAAAATAGGAGGAAACCCGGGGAGAGCGCTCAGCTCGGCCACGCTCGGGGAAAAGTGGGAGTGGGGCCGAGCAGGGAACGGCTCCGGGGAGGCACCGCGGGGCCGGGCTGCTTCCCTCTGCAGTGTTTTGTATGGATCCAGTCACTCTGCTGCAGAGCACAGAAATCGCTGCCACCCAACATATTTTTAAGCAGAACTATGTGTCATGCATCTGCTTTTGCCAGAAGTTGTTTTTCTTTTTTTTTTTCCCCTAATGGAGCCTTCGCTCTCAGCGACGGAGCTGGATGTGGGGCTGGGGAAAGCGAAGCTGCCGCGGCTTTGCTGGGGTTTGGGGACGGAGACAACACAAAGCAGCCTTTTGTTCCCGGGGTCACCAGCTCAAAAAGGTTCTTAAACGTTAAAAAAAAAAAAAAAAGTTGACATCTGACGCTCGCCGGCTGCCCGCCGGGAGCCGAGCTCGCGGGGCTCGGTGCGGGGCACGAGGCCAGGCTGTGGCCAGGCACCCCCTGCCAAGGTGGATGCGGCACGGGAAGAGCAGCTCCAGCGGGGTTTGGGGCAGGAAATCCTTCTGGTTATGGTTTCCTTCCTCAAGCTGCCACCGATTGCAGCGACGGGAGGGGAGGTGGTGGTGGCAAGGCTGGGGACGAGCGCCCCGATCCCCCGTGGAGGCTGCGGGCGGCACCGGGCTGCGATTTGTCCCGCGCCGTGCCCGGCGAAGCAACTTTAAGGGTTCGGGTAATTAATTGCCGAGCTGCCAACGCGGTAACGGCGAGCATCAAGAGGGCAAACCCGCACCAGGGCAGCGTCCCTGCATCGATAAAATCAATGGCACTTTGGCAGGCTGAGCTCCGGCCGGGGCTGGACGCGCCACCCAAGGGACGTGGGTGGCTTCCCGGTGACTTCACCCCAAAAAGCTCCAGGTGACACCAAACACCTCGGGACGTGTCGTCCCCTGGCACAGGGGACCCTAAGACCTCGCCGAAGCGGTGCTGCCCCACCAGCAGGGTCCCTTTCCCGAGTGCCAGGCTCCCTCTGGGTGCCCAGAACCATTTTCCCACTTTTCTCCCAATTTTTTTGAACCCCCAGCCTGGAAGTGCCACCCCCGCGGGGTCCGAGCGGGGAAATTCACCTCTGCGGGCAAACCCACCCACCCCATGGGGACCTTTTTAAGGGCCGGGGATCTGAGTTGCTCCCGTCCCAACCCCCCGAGCAATTTCTGCCCAAACTTCAGCCGGGACCGGCCGCCCGGACCCCTGCCGGTGCTGCCGCCTTCCTCATTAACCGGAGCCAGGGGTTATTTATTAGGGTCTGCTCAGCCCCCCCTGCACAGGGACGGTGCTGTGACCCTACCCAGGACCCCAGGAAAGCCCGCTGGGATGATGCAGCCCCCCCAGAACACCCCCAAGGGGGCCTGCAGCCCCCCTTGCCCAGGGCTGGTGGTGACAGCGGGGTCCCCCCCAGCTCTCCCACCCTGCCCTATTGTGATCGCTGCTCTTTGGGGTCGGGCGGCAGCGGGGTGATGGCCTCGGTGGTGCTGAGCCCCGTGTATCCTAACGGACCGTGAGGCATCCCCAACCTGGGGATGGATGCCCCCCATCCCTGGCGGCACCCTACAGAAGGAGCATCCCTGTCCTGGGAGCGTCCCAACTGGGACCTGCTGGGACCGGGAGCATCCCAAAGCAGCATCGCTGTAGGGACATTCCCACCCTGTGATCGCTGTGGGACTGTCCTCATCCCGGGAGCATCCCCAAACCAAGAGCATCCCAAGAGCATCCTCATCCCAAGAGCATCCTGAAACCATGAGCATCCCGAAACCATGAGCATCCCCAAACCAAGAGCATCCCCAAACGATGAAGATCTCCATCCCAAAAGCATCCTTATCCCAGGTGCACCCCCAAACCAAGAGCATCCTCATCCCAAAAGCATCCCCAAACCAAGAGCATCCCCAAACCAAGAGCATCCTTATCCCAAGTACGTCCCCAAAACCAAGAGCATCCCAAGAGCATCCCCATCCCAAAAGCATCCTCATCCCAAAAGCATCCCAAAAACATGAGCATCCCTAAACCAAGAGCATCCCAAAAGCATCCCCAAGCCATGAGCATCCCCATCCCAGGACCATCCCCATCCCGGGACCACCCTCACCCCAAGCGCACCTTCCCCCCAAAAGCCCCCACCCCCGTGGGACCCCCCCCCCCCCCCGGTGTGACCCCCCCTCCCCCGGTGGGACCCCCGCACCCCCAAGGTGACACCAGCAGCACCGTGGGGGTGCCGCCACCCCTTCTCCCTCCCACCCCACAACCGCTACCCCCAAAAAGGACCCCGGGGACCTCCCCCCCCGTTCCCCCCCGGTGCCCCCCGCTCCCTCACCTTGAGGTCCGGGGGCTTGGCTCTGGCCACAGCCCCCCCGCCCCCCACCTCGGGGGCCGCCGCCTCCCCCGGTTTGGGCTCCATCACGGTGGCAACGGGCGGCTCCCCGGTGCCTTCAGCCCCCTCCTCGGGCTGCCGCAGCTCGTCCGAGCGGCACCGCTTCATGCCGCCCCCCCACCCCCCCCAAAAAACCCCCCCGGCGGCGGCGGTGCCTACGGCCGCAGCAGCACCACCACCACCGGAGACGGCGGCGGTGGCGGTGGTGGAGGCGGCGGCGGGGGGCGGCGGCAGCCGGGAGGCCGCTGTGGGGCCCGAGGGCTCAGCGCCGCCCCCCCCCCCCCGCCCGCCGCTGCTGCCGCCGCCGCCGCCCCGCCGGGCCCGGCCCGGCCGCCGGCCCCGCGCCGCGCCGGCCCCGCGCCCCCCGGCATCGCCGCCGCCGGTACCGGGCGCCGCCGCCTTGAGCGGCACCCGCCGCAGCCAATGGGGAGGCGAGGAGGGCGGGGCGAAGGGAGGGGATTGGCTGAGGGGGAGCAGAGGGGTTGGGGGGGGGGGATTGGGGGGGGGGGGGCACGGTCCCGGGAGCGGGCAGCGGGGGGGGGATTGGGGGGATGCGGGAGGGAGCCTGCGGGGCGGTCAGAGGTCTTGTAATTAATGCATTCACATTTTTTAATTTGGTGGGTTTATTTGATGGCGGGATTTTTCTGTAAATTAAGAAATTTATTCTTTTTTTTTTTTTTTTTTTTTTTTAAATTTAGAATTTTTGTTTTCCGGACTTTTTTTTTTTTCATTTCTCAGCCATCAATTCTTTATTTTAATTTAGTATTTTTATTTTCCGGCGAGTTTTCATTTATAAATTATTATTTTTTATTTATTTTCTTATTATTATTATCTTTTGGTGGTTTATATTTTTAAATTATTTATTTAATTTCATATCTCTGGCAGTTTTCTATTTTCAAATAAATTCATTGTAATCTAGTATTTTTATTTTCTGGATTTTTTATTTTTAAATGAATTCTTTTTATAATTTAGTATTTTTATTTTATTATTATTATTATTATTATTATTATTATTATTGTTATTATTATTAATAATAATAATAATTTTTGATTTTTTAATTTCATATTTTTATTTCTGGCCTGTTTAAAATTTTAAATTATCATATTTTTCATTTAACAACGTAGGGGCAGTTTTTATTTTAAAGTTAACTTATTTTAATTTGGTGTCTTTATTTTCTGGCATTAAATTTACTTTCTAAATTATTTTGTAATTGATTGCTTTTATTTTATGGCAGATTTTTATTTTTAAATTAATGAATGAATTCTGATTTCCTCTTTTTATTCCTTTCCCCGTCTCTCCGCACTGAATACGCCTGGGGCTGCACTGCCCATGGTGTTTCTTTGCCCCTGCCCTGGTGCAGCCCCAAGGCTGGGGCCCAGCCTGCTGCTGCCACCCATGTCCCCAAACATGTCCCCAAACATGTCCCCAGCCGTGTCCCCATCCCTGTGGGCCCTGTTTGGGGTCAGCAGCGAGCAGCCCAGCCAGCTGCAGAGTTTTGGGACAGGCCAGGCCGGGTGGCAGCTCCCCGCTCTGCCACCCTCTCTACAAGAAATAAAGGCCGGGGAGCAGCACAGGAGGGGTTTTGCAACCAAGCGGCCGTGCCGGGATCCTGCGCTGCTGTGATCCCATAAAGCCACGGATCTACGGAGCTGTGCCTCTGTGCCTCTGTGATGCTCTGGCTCTCTGATTCCATGGCTCTCTGATTGCTTGGTTCTCTGATGCTGTGCTGCTATGGTTCTGTGGTGCTACATTCCTACGGTTCTGTGATTCTGTGGTTCCAAGGTTCTGGGGTTTTATGGTTCTGTGTTTCTATGACACTATGGTTCTAAGACTGTCTGGTTCTGTGGTTCTCCGTTCCTGTGTTTCGCCATTCCTGTGATTCCCCATTTCTGTGATTCCCCGTTTCTGTGACTTTCCGTTTCTGTGATTCTCTGTTTCTGATTCTCCGGGCCCAGGAGGATGCCAGGGCAGCACCTCAGGGCCCTGCACCCCCCGAGAGGGCCCGGGGCTCATGGGGCGACCCAAGTGGGGCCGCGAGGCAGGAGCTGGGGATCAAGGACCTCGAACTGCTTTATTCCATTTGGGGATAAAAACATGGGTTTTGTACTGCTTTAACTGGACAGTGGCACAGGGACAACAGGGGTGGCGCTGAGGGGAGCCCCTCACTTCACCGCGGGGCTCCGCAGCCCCCACAGCGCCTCCCCAAACCCCAGCGGGGTCAGCACCATGGGGGGGGAGGCCTCCAGCGGCCCGCCATGACACGAGGGGAGGCCCCCGCGGAACTACACTTCCCACACCCCCCCGCGGCTGCGCAGCGAGCCTACATCTCCCAACACTCCCCGCGCGGCGCACGGCCCCCTATGCACCGCCGAACTACAACTCCCAGCACGCTTTGCGCGCTCGGGGTCCGCCCGCCCTCCTCCCCCCCTTTGCCCCGCGGCGCCCCGATAAAGGTTCCGCGCCGCCCGCCGCCCTCCTCGCTCAGGCGCTGCCCCGGCGGAGCAAAGCGGCGGCGGCGGCGGGGGTCGGGGAGGCGGGGAGGGGGTGGGGGGGGGGTGGTGAGGCGGAGAGACCGGAGAAGGAGGCGGCAGCGTGGCGGAGGCCGAGCGCGGCCCGCGGTGGGGAGGGGATAGCGGGGCGGACCCGCGGGCCATGGAGGGCGACGGCGCCCCTTCATGGCGGGGGCCCGGCGGGGTGGTCCGCGAGCTCTGCCGCTCCTTCGGCCACTACAACCGGCACCTGGCGCGGCTGCAGCACAACCTGCGCGAGACCAAGAAGTTCTTCCGCGACGTCAAATACTCCCAGGGGCACCCCTTCGCCTCCGCCGCCACCGGGGAAGGGTCCCCCCCCTCCCCACACTCTGCTGCCACCGCTGCTGCTGCTTCTGGGGACGGCTCCGCCCGGGATGGGGGTGAGGAAGGGGCCGGGGGTGGGTTTGGGGTGGGTGAGGGGGGATGAGGGGGGTTTGGGGGCGTTGGGAGGGGCTGGGGGGGCGTAGGTGGGGGTGGGGGGGGTGAGGGGGTGCGGGGGAAAAAGGGGGCTCTGAGGGGTGCGGGTGGGGTGGGGGTGAGGGGGGTGTGGGGTGGGGGCGAGGGGGGTGTGAGGGGGGTGGTTGGGGCTGGGGGTGAGGGGTCTGGGGGGTGGGGGGCGGTTGGGAGGGTTGTGGGGGTGAGGGGGGCTCTGAGGGGTGTGGTTGGGGCTGGGGGTTTGGGGTGGGGGGGTGAGGGGGGTTCTGAGGGGGCTTTGGGGATGAGGGGTCTGTGGGGTGGGGGATGGCTGGGGGTGTTGTGGGGGTGTAGGTAGGGTCTGAGGGGTGTGGTTGCGTGCGGGGGGCTTGGGGGCTGTTAGGTTATGGGGTAAGGGGCAAGTAGGGGGTGTCTGGTTGTGTTGTGGGGGTGTAGGTGGGCTCTGAGGGGTGCAGGTAGGTCTGGGAGCTCAGGGACTGTGGGGTTAGGGGCATCTGGGTGTGTTGTGGGGGAGCAGCGGGGCTCTGAGGGGTGCAGCCCTATGGCAGGGTGCTGTTGAGGGGCTGCAGGCAGTGCTCTGGGGTTCGGAGGGGGGCTGTGGGGTTGTGGAGCACGTGCAGGGAAGCGAGGTGACTTGGGGTGGAGGTGAGAGGGGCTGTGGGGGCAGGTCAGGGCCTCGGTGAGGACTGGAGGGGGCTGGATCCTGGGTGGGGGTGGGGGGAGGAAGGTGAGGTGCCCCCGGCGCGGGGTGGGCAGCCGTCAGTCAGCGGGGGCATTCATTCATCCTCTTGATCTTCATCTGGGGCTGTTGACAAACATTGCTGCTGCTCGCAGGCCTCCTGCTGAGCGCAGGTCCTTCCTATTCCATAAGACTGTCTTGTGAGGAGAGCTGAGCGTGACATTAAATATATATAAAGATCTTCTTTATGCGTTTCCAAATGCTTCATGAGTCATCTCTGCTGGCTACTCGTCTGTGCTTGTCTTATGCTTACAACTCTGGCTTGGAAATTGAAGTGTTGTTGAGCTCTTCTGTCAGGCTGTGTCAGAAAGGAGAGAAGTGCTGCACGTGAACTTTGGGAACAGAGGTGGAGAGCAGCCTAAAAACCTGGGCTGTTTGTTTACATCTTTCTGTGACTTCTAAAAAGCAGGAACTGGTGGGTTTCGCTTGCTTTCTATTAGTCTGGGCGCTGTGTGAATGGCAGCACCCAGCTGGAGGTGTTCTTCTGGGTACTTTTGGGCCAGCATTGCTGGTCATGTACCAACTGCGTCCCAAAGTCTGTTTGTGGGGCTCTGTAGGTGTGGAGGCCTCGTTAATTAAATCTTCCTGACACAGATATGCGTTTCACCAAGTATCCTGCCCGTTCTTCTTACCACAGGGTGCTCGAGGCTTTCTAGTTCTCAGATCCTCACCTTGACCTGGTTTGAGTTTGTACTTCAGGCGGCACGGGCTGCTTTAGGCCTCGTTCATGCGAGCGCTAATAACAGTGTAGGCTCCTGGGTTGGGCTTCCAGACAGGAGAAGTTGTATAACGTTCACCGTCCTTCAAAATAAAACTTAAATCGGCTTGAAAGCAGCGGATTTGAATGGCAAGATGCTCTAGGGGGGTGTGGAGCAAGGTGATAAACGTGCTCCAGGTTAGGTGGGAAGCCGAGGGGGCAATCCCGAGGGGAGTGTGGAAGGAGGAAGAGGATGAAGAGCAGGGCTTGGTGAAGTGCTTGCCTGCAGTGAGGCGCCAGCAAAATAACTGAACCAATGCGATTCTGTGTGTGTGTGTTATAAAGGCATGAAAAGACACAGGCCTTTGAAACCTAGGGCATTGATACAGGCTTTGTGCCTGAATAACCACCTCTGAACGGAGCTTCTTGTTTCTCGGCAGTTTTAGTTGTTGATTTCCACCGCTCTCTGAAACTCAGGGGATATTTTCTCCGTTAACAAAAATTTTTTCCCCTTTCCAACATGGGGAAATGAGTTTAAGAGGCGCGTTTTGTGCCGACTCCAGACTCATTTTCCTAGACTCTGCCCTCCAAGTGGTTTCGAAGTGAGAGGCGTTTTGATAAAACAGTTCCCAAGCCTGCTCGCAGGGCGCTGCGCAGCGTGGAGGTGTGGATGCTGATGGTTTGTGAAACGAGTCAGAAACGGGAAGTGAAACGGACAGGACACTGCCTGCCTGCAGCTGAAGTGGAAAAATAAACTGCGAAAGTAAACCTCGATGTCTTGGAAACAAAACAAATGTGTAGATTCTGCTTTTGAGACACCTGCGAAGCTGTTGGAGCAGCGCGGAAACGTAACTGCCCTCTGAATCAACAGAGGTCGAGCAACCTGAACACAGCCTGGGCTGCTCCCTCTGAGAACAGCCCCAGGGACCTGCGAAGCTGGGCGATGAAAGGAGCAGATGTGGCCCACCTCCCTCTGAGGAGGGTGCCAAGCAATATCTGGCAACGCTGGAACGTCATTGATCGTGTGATTCCTCGGTGGCCTTAGCACCAGGACATTTTCCTTAGGGTAAGAGAGGGAAAATAACTTCAAGGGAGCAAAGAAAGAGAAGCACTGAACAGAATACTGCCTGCTTTGTCGTGAATAGTGTGGTTTTTGTTTTTTTATAGTGACTTGTTAAAGTGCTGTGCCAACCCTGCGCCTTCAGCCTGGGCAGATCTGACTGCTGCCTTCTGAGTTTTCACCTGGTTTCCTTCTTGGTGCTGTTAGCTGACCGGCTTTCTGCAGAGTCAGTATGAACCAAATCTTAATTACGGATTCAGTAACTTTTTTTCTTACTGTATATAAAGGTACTAAGGGAAAAAAACAGCAACTGTGCTTTGTGCTAGCTGTATTTTTCTATAACCAGCACCCATGCTTTGTACAAGCTGTGTTTTTCTTTGTTCTGTGCTTGAAGCAGTTGAAACTCCTTGACCTAGGGCCCTGAAGTGTTTTTTTTCTGGACGTTTCTTGCTTTGCTTTGGAAAGTAATCTGAGCTGTGCCTTTTGCTCAGGTAACTGCGGCATCTCCAGAGCTCTGGGTAGTGGCTGTGGTGTTATTTTAAGGTGTGTGCTGGGAGAGAAGCCCTGGCTTGGAGGAGTTCTTGTCCTGGTGCTGCACTGAGCAAGGGTTAAGATGGGATAAAATGAGTTAAAATGGGGTGTTTCTGCCTGTGCTCCCCAAAAGGCTCATTGGGATTCCCGTTGTGCTGGCAGGTCCAGACAGGAGGTGAGCTTCGGGCCTGGGTGCTGCATGGAGGGGTGGCAGGGAAGGTTCTTGTGCAGAAACTCCTCAAATAAAGACGGTGGAGAAACGAGATGGCAACAGTCAGCTTTCCTTAAAAAGGGGGTGAGCGAAGCACATCTTCGGTGTCCTGCAGGTTGGGCAGCTCCAACCTCAGCTTGTTTTGCCGAGACTTGGGCCGAATTCTGGGGCGAGCCTTGGTGAGAGACTTCCTTGTTCTCGCACAGGCTGCCTTTCATCCGACGGGCTTTAATCGGATGCACGCGCTTGAGGACTCCCCTGCAGCCAGTCGTTTGAAGTGTTTATCACATGTCTCCCAATGGTACGATGCACGGGTGCAGCGCAGCACCAAGGGAAGGCTTTGATAAAGCCCTGCTCCGGACAGGAGGTGCTGGGGCAGACGGGAACCTCGCCGCGTCTCCTGGAGAGGCGAGTGGTGAATCTGCTCTTTGTTCGCTCCGTGCCGCTGGGCTGGGGGGCTGTGCTCTCCCCCAGCTTGTCCTCAGCTCCTCGCCGAAAGCAACTGCAGGCAGCTCGTCCCGTGGGGGCCATCGCAGGGAGGTGGTGTGCGAGGAAGGTGTCTGAAAGAGGTGGTGTTCGTACCTCCCTCCTGTGCCTCGGTGACTTTGGCTGAGCTGCTGGACTCCAAGCACCTTGTGTTGGCATTTATATGCAAGTACAGGACGAGCAGAGGGAGAAATCTGCTGGTTCCTTGTTAAAAGCCCCCATAAAGGGGACTTTGTGGCCTGTACAGCTCCTTCCAGAACTCCTTTTTTGTGCTCGATACCTGAAGGGCGAGCTTGGCTTCCAGCACGGTTCCAACAGATGTCACTGGATCAAAGAGATCCCGCAGATGAAGGTCTAAATGTGCCCCGGCTGGGTTTTTGCTGCTTTCTTTGTGCACTGCCGGGCAGATCCTGCCTCTCAGCCACTTGCCGTGGCCTCTGCTGTGGCCGCATGGGTTGAAAGGCTTGTCTGAAGGCAGCTCCAAGAAGTGATGCCTCCCGGAACCTGTTGCAGAGGTTTTTTGGTGTGCCAGAGGGACACGTTTCCCCAGGCAGGGCTCGGGGGGTCTCCAGGCTGTTGGTTTATGGGGTCAGGTTGTGGGGCTGAGGTGCAGGGGCTGTGCCTGTGTGGGATGGGGTTCCTACAGCAGGTCCCTCCAGACCTCGGGCTGGGAGGAGAGACAAATCTTGGGGTAAGATCCTGAAGAAGCCTGAAATTGGCTTTAAGACATGAGCAGCTCCAAGGGGTGCTGCTCCTGGTTTGAATTATTTTAGCTAAAATAAAGGAGCGTTGCCCAAAGGAGTGCCTGCTGCCTGCCCTTCGCTTAGCAGCAGTGCGAGTGTCCCGGTGGATCAGGACCTTGTTTTCCTGGGCCTGGAGATGCTGAAACGATTTTGGGTGCCAGAAGGTGACTCACAAAAGGAATTCTAATAACCACGGTGAAATGGGACCTTCCCCTCCAAAATCCCTGCTGGTGCTGCTCGGCGCCGTTCTCGCTGCTTTGCCTGGTGCCTGGCAGGCAGCTCCCAGGCTTGGCGGCCGCTTTAGGATTTGGTGTTTCGTTCCCGGGTGCCATCTGCTTTCGGGTCTGGAAGCACGGGCTCTGCGGTGGAACACTGGCTGGTTTGTACTCAGGAACTGTGCTGAAGGGCAGCAGATGGGGGAATTTGTTTCTATCCTTTTATTTATTTATTTATTTTTGTACTACCAGAATTATTCCGTGGCCGTGTGTAAGGTGACGCAAAGCTGCTTAGGCTTCAGCTGAGATGCCTGAGCGTGGGAAAAGCTGTATTTAGCACTCCTAAAAGAGCCCAGAAGCTAAATTCAATGCCGAGAGTGTTTTCTCCAGCCTTACTCTAGTAAGGCAAACGCAGGGAGCTGCAGCATCGTGGACTAAATTGAAACTGGGTGAGGAGAGCAACTGCGGGGAGTTTTGGCTCCCCTGCAGCAGACAGATGAGATGCTCAGTAGTTCCCTTCTGCAGATTAAATGTTTGTGAAGCTGATAATATCTGGCTGATGGAGCTGATTTAGATCAGCTCTATAGATTGTGTCCTCTGGGATGGGAAGGAGAGAGGTTGGCAGCGCAGCCAGGGCGAGGAAGCTGCTGCTTCGTGTGTTATAGACCGCGCCGAGAGCCTGCTGGCTGCTGGCAGAGCATCTTCCCTTGGGCTCAGCGCTGCCAGGCTGGTGAAAGGCACAACAGCTTCTTTTGGTGCCGTGGTTGTGTTTCCATCGTGGGGGATCGCTGGCAGAAGCTGTCAGTTCTGTCATTTGCAGGAGTGCCTCTTCCTGAGGCTGGAAGGGAGGTGCTGCTGCTGTCACGCCGGCGTTCTCAGCCTTTGGTCAATGAGTTTGTCGAGGATGCTCTTAGACGTGAAGCGTGTACCCCTCGTGAGTGTGCATGGGGCTGTTCCCAATTCATAGCTGGTGCATTTATTCCTGCTGTAAAAAAAAACCTGGGGAGAGGTCACTGTAGGGCCCCTCCAGGCTTCCTTGAGCTCTGGAGCAAGGTGAAACGCTGTTGCACCCCCCGGGTGAAATCAGCCCTTTGGTTGCAGCTGGGACAGTTGTTTCCTCTTGGCTTGTAGGGCCTAGGGTTAATCTTCCACTCACCTGCTTAAGAGAGCTCTGTGTAAACACTTTCTAGTGAAATAACCGGGGGGGAGCTGTAACAAACGGGCCTGACTTGGTGCGAACCAGGCGGCTGCGGACGGCCGTGGCGATGCAGTGAAAGCACTTAAACTGCTGACGTGAGCTCCAGGGTGCTTAGGCAAATTCTTGGTGCCGTGGGGCAGCGATGTCTGTGCTGTAGCATCCAGCTGGCTTAGAGATAGGAGAATTATTGTTCAGCCAACCTGTTCTCACGCAGTCTGTCCTCAATTTCAGGGCAGAACTTCATTTCCTTCCCTCGCCACGAGGAAGAGCACCTCCAGCGGACCGTGAGCTGGCACCCTTGCCTTCTGATCCTGGGCCAGAACTGTAACGCCAAGTGCCAGCTACTCAACATCCTGCTGGGGGAGAAGCTGCTCCCCACCACCAAGATCAGCAGCGAGGAGAACTGTAAGAGGCGCCGGATCCGTTTCACGCATGGGACACAAACGCGGCTCAGTCTGGCTCTCCCTGAGCAGTACGAACTGGTCCATATGATGGCAGCCCACCGGGGGCAGTGGGACACGATACCAGAGGAGGACTTAGAAATTGGTGGGGACAGCGAGGATCCTGCTCACCGGATAGCAGAGCTGGAGGTCATGCTGCCGTACTCGCTCCTAAAGGTAACTGGGTGTCTGTGCACCACTGCGGTAATGAATTCGTTAAGGTGTCACAAAATTATGTCCCTAATAAAGCTCGTGGTGTCAGCTCTCAAGCACAGGAATGTTCCTACTTAGCTAAAACTGAAAGCCTGGTGTCTTTTTAATCTCCATCCTAAAGGGCTTGTAAGGATAAAGCTGCTTAATTCCAACTTCTGGTAGAATGAGCTGACTTCACGAGAGCGGCTCTGACGCTGCTGTGATGTCAGTCGAGGGTGAAGGCGTTAGGAAGGAGGTGGGAGCCTTTTCTCAGGGCTGTGTGTGTGATCTTGCTGGTACGTTGCTTTGTCAGCCACCTTTCACTTACTTGTGACCCACACTCCTGTCCTGGAAGCATTGTCATTTGGTGCTTAGCAAATATCTTCAAAGACAAGTGTTAAATTTCATTTGTTTTTTATAGCTTCAATAAGCTTTCTTTGCATTTCAGATCTCACACCGAGGTCTTGTTGCAGTGTAACACAACCCAGAGCATTGTACTCTGGCAGTCAAACATCCACAGTAACTTATTCTTACCAGTAAGTTGTTTTTGTGCAAGGAATCCGATCTGTGTTCACACAAGTAAGAGTATGAACTCTATAGCTGAAGAGTGAAATGTCAAGGTAACATTATTTTGGGCATCTGAATTGGGACGTGATTGTAATTAGGCACAAAATTGAGACTTGGTCTGTCTTCACCAGCTTGTAAAGCTTTACGGACCCAGACTGCAGCCGAAGTTAAGCCTACCCTCATGGCAGCAGCCAAGTCAATGCTATGTTGCAGGGTGTTTGTGGCTTTCCATATCCACTGAAAGAACAGAAATGCCGTGTTTACAGACTGTGCCCAGCATCCACCACCTTCCTGAAGAGCACCAGATCTGGTGCAGCAATGTACATGCCTGCTCTGGATCTGCATGTAAAATCCTGCCCTGCTATTGCGTAAGGGTATTACCTTCACATGAATTTCATTGAGATGGCTTCATATGGGTCAGTGTGACCACAGTGCTGTTCACAGCCCTCCTTACATCTATATTTCTCACGAACGACAAAGATCTCTCTGTCTGGCCCTGGTTATATTTAGGACATTTAGATGAAAACATCTACTCAGATTAATTTGAAAAGGGTTGGTGAAATAACAAGCTCTTCCACTAAAAGGAGAGGGAGGGTGAATCACAGCTAGCCTCAGATTGAGTCAAAGGATTCCTTACATAAATTTTAGGGACTAAAAAGGAATAACAAAGCTATATTTTTAACGGTTTTAGGAGGGTTTAGGCATTTTAGCAGCTCATCAGGCTAGGGATAGCTTCTTGTTAAGTTACTGGAGTCCGGTGTCCTGCTGAGAGCCGTGTCTCTTTCACCCTTCTGGCTAATGTGTGTTTTCTAGCTCTGCCTAGCATGCACCAAGACAACAAAGTTAAAAATACCAGCTAGTCATGGACACGGCTTCTGTAATTAATGGAACATATATCTGGAACAGTCACGGATGAGGTTTGTTGGACATGATCCAAAACTCTGTCTGCAAAACTACTCTGAGAGAGCTTCTGCTTTTTATTAACTTGTGCAACAAAGCTGGTAGCCTAATAACAGTTGCGTGCTTGACAATAACATGATGGTCAGTGCAGATCTCAAGGATTTAGACTTGCCCAGAAACCAGATAGCTTGGAGGAGCTCAGCACCCTTTTGGGCAGAGAGGGAGGGAAAGAAATCTGATTTTTACCCCACCTGACACCTAGAATTCCTGGTTTGTGTTTTGTTTTTTCTTCCCAATAGCAGAGTGCTTACAATATAGTAACTGCTTCGTGGTAACTTTATGCTCTAGGTGTTGGGAGGGCAAGGAGACCTGGCAGTCTTGCTGGTCTTTAAATGTTTCCAGGTCCTTCCCTGTGGGCAGTGTGAGATGAGGATGCTGTTTGTGTACTGCCTTTGATTTTTGACATTTGAAATCGCATTCATTCTGCGTGATGGCAACACTTATCTGCAGTGGGATACCATTCAAGGGCACTCAGTGGCTGTAGGATCTGGGGAATGCTCTGCAGCCCTTCAGGCCTAAACATCTCTTCCCAAAAGCCTTTAATTGCCCGGGCCGGCTTGGCCACCTGGGCTGCACACTGTGGTTGTGTGCAGACACTCGGTGCTGACTCATGCTTCGTGGGGCAGGCACTTGCTTGCTAAATCTAAACTCCTTAGCCACTGCTCCAGTGGGGAAAGGTTGACAGGACTGAAATATGTATGGATTCAATCACAAAAGTATGGAATGTGATGGGGTTCAACGTAAAAAGCAGTACGCGAGTGTAGCACCCTGCGTTTGGTCTGATAACCCCTCGATGCCTGGGCTGGGACCATGCTTGTTTTGTGCTGCTGGAGGATGTCTTAATCACAACTTGATTTGCGGAAATAGGTGAGGAGGAGAGAGCCAAAAAACCCTTTGCTTGGGTTGTCTGCTGGGAGAACACTAGCTTGTGCTATGTGAATTTAGTTGTTTTTGTTTTGTTTTGTTTTGTTTTTTTGTTGGTAAATGATCAGGGAAGAAAAACACAGGCAAAGCTGCTCTGTTCCTTTGGGATCGCTGTGTGCAGGAATGCATCTAAGTCATGGGGAATAATCCCTCAAGCCAGACAGATTATTAGATTTGCAGTGGAAGTAAACAAGTCGGTTCTTTCCCTAAATCTTATCAGTTGTGCCTTGATGCCCAAACAGACTTCTGCGAGGCAGTGCTTTTCCTCTGGATGGTGCAGCTGAATCAGAGCAGGGTGGCTGAGCTGAAAGCTTCCTTTTTCATGCCCTCGTTTTGCTGTGCGCTTCGTTCTACTTTGAGCCTTGGACTCACAGTTTTAGCCAGGGCTTTTAGGGAAAGAAGAAAATTCAGCTGCTCTGGCAGAGCTGGAAAATGCGTGAAGAAATGCAAGCTGGCTATGTGAGCTGCAACAGAAAATGAAGTTGGAGTTTATTGTTGTGTTTCTGAAGGTGCTGTAGCAATGATTCAGGTTGTATTAATTAGTAGTTGTTACGAGCAGCAAGAAGTGTGGTTACATACCTATGGAGTTATTTTTAAGTACATCCTGCTTAAAATATCCTCCTGGAGAGTATTTTTGACATGTTGGCTGTGATATAGAAACTTCTATATCACTTCTGTTCTGCCTGAGATGCTCTTCCCTCCACGCAGCATTGGGTTCGCTTCTCAGCACCTCAGTTAACTAAACACTGATTAAACTGCCCAAAGCTGAGTGAAACAGGACAGGCTCCTGTTGGGATGTGGCACATAATTCCTCACTTCCAAACGAGTTAACAAGAACTTAGCTGCTGTCTTAACCTTAAAAAATGGCACACCGCAGTGGTCCCGGGGTGCTTCAGTGGGACTCAGCTCGTCGTGTTGGAGCTCGAGACCTGCTTCCTTCTGGGTTTTAACTTTTGGGTTGGGGATGTGGGAGGCAGCGGTCATCCTGGCCTCGCAAGTCCACTTCATGCTTGAAGTGGAAGAGCTGTGACTTTGCGTACCTGGTGCTCAGATTTCTAGGTAGAAAGCTCTGGTATTTAGAGAAAAGAGGACCTTTTAGTTAAAGAAGCTGTGACTGAGGTTACTTCACAGCAATTCCATGCGTACAGCTATGTCAGAGGTGTTGAAGCATGTTCGCAGTGCGTGACCTTGTGAGAACCAGCTGGGGAATTTCAGGAATCTGCTGTGATTCACAGGTAGTCCCCATACAGACCCCGTCCCCAGCAGCTGCACCGGTGTCAGAACTTCTGCAGGACATCACCAGAAAAATAAAGGCGGGGGAAGAAGAGCTGCTAACGTTCCCTGGAAAAGCCAGGAGAGGCCTCTATGGCAACAGAAGGACCAGTTGCTCTGCACTCTGTTCTCTGTTGGTTTTCTCCCTGTCTCCTAGAGACAGCGCTGGCTTCCTCCTTTGTTTACAGGCGCTGGCGTTGAGTCACCGGCCCGGGGAGCATTGCAGGCTGCACAGCCCCTGCTGCAGCTCGGTCCCGTGGCATTAATGACTTCCTGCTATCCGGGGGAGCAGCTCGTACTTGTGGTCAAGGCATTTAAGTAGCTCTAGGGAGAAATGATTGAAGAAGGCTTAATTATAGCCCCTCGTTGGGAGCTGGGGACTTCGGTTTGTCTTCAGTTCAAAGCCTTCAACACTCGCTTTCGTTATTTTAGTGAAGTGATGCATGAAATGCCAACGCTGTTCTCACATACCCCAGGGTGATTACCATCTCCTTGCTTGTAAGAGAGAGGAGCGGTCTTAAAAGTGCCCTTTTTGAGTAGGATCGCTAAGAATTAGTGTCAGCAGGAAAGCAAAACGCTGGGTAGTAAGAGAATAAATGAATAAAATCGTCGGCTTTGGCTGGATTTGCAGAATGTCACAGCTCAGCTTGTCACAACCATGTGTTCCTCCTCCCAGTCCTTTGGCTGGGATCTCTTTGGAAGAGGTTGGTGGTGGCAGTGGTGGGTGGTGTAGTGCTGTCTGCTACGCTGAAAACTGACAGCACGAACATCTCAACAAGCTGCAGATCAGGTAAACATCAATGGGAGGTTAAGAGTATTTATTCGGAGAGGTTGTTGCAAAATGGGGCAGGCATAAACCAAAGAACAACAGCAATTCTCTGACAGCACCTCCCTGGGAAACCTTTTTTGAGTTTTGTTCTGAACTAGGCCAAACTTTAAGGGTGCTTGGTGCAAAATAAGAGTTTTGGAGTCAGTGGGCACTGATTAACTCCTGGCTGCATCTCTGCCCCTGGGCTGTCATCAGCCTTACAGGGAGGCTATGTGCTAAGGCATGCTCCTGTGTGTGAGATCCCATAACTGTCCTAAAGGGTGCGAGCGTATTTTGCGCTTTGAGAATGAATTGCCGTGCATTCTTGCCTCTGTTAATGTTAAAAAGGATCTGTACCAAACTGTTTTTTTACCTTCTTGCTTGTTAGGAAGTGGACGTTGTGGTAGCACCGTGTCGCGGATTGCAGTCTGCTGAAGCCACCCTGGGAGAGTACATGAACCAGGTCTTGCTCGTGGTCATCTTTGCCATCAGTGAGGCTGAGCTTTCATCTTCCGACGAGAACGAACTGCGCGAGATCAAGGAGAAGTTCTCGTTGCCCATTTTCTTCTTCAAGGTGCCGGAGTCAGGGGTGGAGCTGATCTCTCCCAGAAAAACTGACAGCGAAAAGTCCTCCCTCTACTGCCAGCTGATGGACCTGGAGTACCTGAGCACCAACCACTGCAGCTGCGGGGCGCCCAGTCCTGACGCCGATGCCCAAAGCATGTTGGTGGAGCAGTTCGAGAAGCTCCGTCTGCTCAGCACTTTTTCCAGGCAGGTGCTTCAGAAGCATCTCGTGGAGGCAGCCACCAGCTTGAACGAGGTGCACTGCCGCTGCCTCAACATCTTCATCAATCAGGCCTTCGACATGCAGCGGGACCTGCAAATCACCCCCAAGAGGCTGGAGTACACCCGCAAGAAGGAGAACGAGCTCTATGAGTCTCTGATGAACATTGCCAACCGCAAACAAGAGGAGATGAAGGACATGATCATAGAGACTCTCAGTAATATGAAAGAGGAGCTCTTGGAAGATGCTGCTAATATGGAATTTAAAGGTAACTCCTGGCAGGAGGGTGACTGGAACAAATTGGTTTGGGGCTTTAAAGGAGAGCCATGGGTGATGGTTGCAGTCTGCTAAGGGATGGTTGAGTGGTTGTCCAGACAGGTGGCTCTGCAAGCCAGCTCAGAACTGATACACAAAGGGATTAGTTCTGCAGTACCTACTGGCTAGAAAGCACTGGCCTTAAATTTGAGGTCTCAAAATATGAGGTATTGGTTTCTTATAAATCAGATGGATTTTCCCCCTTCTAGCTCGCTGCACGGTTTTGAGTAGGGTATTTTGCTTCGCTGTTTTAATTCCCTGTTCTGCAGAAGAAGAAAGTAAGTCTTAACTTTACTTCAGCAAGTGTGCTGGGACTTGGGAATAAACCTGTCCTAAGGAAAAGAAGTTTAGCTCTAGCAGAGAAGACTTGGCTTGTGCTTTTTGCTCGATTTTCTTTGGGAGAGATTTGCATTAGACTTCTGAGTATAGAACCTGCTAAGATGAAACCCTTTTGGGTAGGTAAAAGTTTTTGTTTTTTTTTTAAAAAGAAAGTGTGCTCCTGAAGCATGTACATGCCATTTGATGTGTGGTTCTGGGAAATGTGGGGGTTCTCACTGCATCGTATAGTACTGGTATTTCTAGGAACACAAAAGCTGGAAGGATTTGTGAGGGTGTTAGGTGTGAAGGGTGACGTGCCATCTAATTCCTGGCTGCAGGAATGCGTGGCTTGTCACAAACACCAAAGTGACGGTTTGAAGGTTGGTACTCCACAGCTCTCCTGCTTGCTAAGCGCAGGTTTGCTCTAACAATTGTTTCTCTTCAAAGGAAACGTGCTTCTCTGGGCTGTAGGGAAAGACTTTTCTACTTAAAATCAAAATAGAACTGTAGCCTATTGACTTAGAATATAAATTATTCTCTGTGGTGTGAGAGGTCAAAATTGTAGATAATTTTGTCTTGCCCTATTTTCCCTGAATTTCAAACCGCAATGCTATGTCCTGGGAGGGAGAGGCGAGAGAAATGGTGAATTATGATTAATCCTGCAGGTTAGCATCTCGATCTTTTTGCTTCTGCAGGTGGGGAATTGATGAGATCTTCCCTGTTTCTTGACATGTTTTTTTTGTAGTGCCCTTGGAAAATGTGTTCCTCATAAAGAGCTGCTTTCAATCCTAACACCGATTTGTGTGCTAGGAGAAACAAACAAACAAAAAAAACCTAGCACGTGTTAAGGGTCCAGTCAGTGTGTGTCAATTCTACCTGTTTAGGGCTGCTATTACTCCATTATCACAGGGGTAATAATCATTCCTGGTATTTTGTCTGTCTCCCTAGAAGAGACACTCACCTACACAGAGCTGGGGCACTGCTGTGCCCGAGTTCAGGTTTCTGTATTTACAGAACGTTTAGGGACAGCACAGGCCAAAACACCTGCGTACATACTTGTTTATACACACCAATGAAACAAGAAAAATCACTTCCTGAGAGCCAACAAGATGCTACGCTCCATTTGGAGTAGTATCCTAAAAGGAGGAAGGTGTTATTTTGAGGAGCTAATGCCATCTGCCGATTGCTGCGTTTGTTTGAAGTCGGCTAGAACTGTTGTTGGTCAAAATCCAAAGATCTGCAGCTCCTCGTAGTAATCTGGTTCTGTTCAGACTGGTTGCAAGGCACGATCAGTGATTTGCTCTGTTTGTTTAAAAATCCCAAGTGATAATCAACCTTCTCAAGGTTCCAAGAAAAAAAGAAATCGGGTAACCAGCTCGGCTGGTGTCTCTCTCTTCATAACATCTGACATCCAGCAGTGCTTATGGATTGTGGCGTAGCTTGGAAAGAATTTCCTGACCTGTTATTTTTTAGATAGAAAACCGGCATTGTGCTTCTCTAACTGCCCTCTAATTTCCGAGGTGAGGGTAGCCGTGTCCTCACTGTACCACTGTGAGGGTGGAGTGGCTGCAGAAGGCTCGGATGGAGCCCGTTGGGCGTTGCAGCATCCTGCACATTGAAACCCCAAGGAACGGCAGCAAACATCACAATACTTTCTTTTCATCGTGGTCAGATGTGATTTTTAGCTTCCTTGAAAATGGAGTAACCATAAGTGCATTCTTGAAGTTACTCTGATGCTTTTGTGTGTTCTGGCACAGCAGAGCGAACTGAAGGAAGATCTGTAGGGTTGGTTTGGGGGCCACGTGTAAAACTGGCGCTGTGGCAGTAGACAGGCAGACTGACAAACTTCAATCCTCTGCAAACAGCTGCTCTGTGGGTTCTTCTGTTGCTCATAGGCTTCTTTGTATGAGCTAAATGTTGCTTGCTTCAGGTTATATCTGAGTTTAAAGCAAACAATGAGCCTCTGAAGGACCAAAATAGCAAAAAAGCCTTTGGAGCAGCTCTCTGGAGTGGCGCTGTGCTGCTCTTCTGCAAAGCGTTCACAGCAGCTTTCAGTAGCCAGTGTTGTAATGGCAATGTGCTGAGTACAAAAGATTCCTCTTTTCTTTTCTTCTGTGCAGATATCATAATTCCTGAGAATGGGGAACCTGTTAGTTCCAAGGACATAAAGTGTTGTATTAAGCAAATTCAGGAACTGATTATTTCTCGATTAAACCAAGCAGTTGCCAACAAGTTGATTAGTTCAGTGGACTATCTCCGAGAGAGCTTTGTAGGGACTCTGGAGAGATGTCTGAAGAGCCTGGAGGAGTCTTGGGAGGTTTCAGTGCATCCTGCAAGGAATTTGGAGAAGTCGAAGGATGTTTCTGTACACATCACAAGCAATTATCTCAAACAGGTACGGTGGCTCAGATGGCTATCTGGAATGCCAGAGTAGTCTTTTTTTTTTAATCCTGATGTAGCAAGGGTGGGTGGAAATGCAGATGCTGAGTGACATTAGAGAAGCACAGCTTTATGGTGTGTGTGGGGGGGACTGGTGTCATTAAGGGAGGTGCTAAAACTTGGGAATGGTTTTATTCTTAAATTTTCACTTGCAGGCCTAGCACTTACCCTTCCTAAATCGGTGTAAAGTGAACAAATCACAGCCTAGAAACACCTATGAGCTTAATAAACATAAATGAATTGAACTAAGTGAATCGTGGAGTGCTCCGTACAGCATCTTTTCTCATTTTTTGGAGGGTGTAGCAAGTATTATAGTGCGTGTAGCTCACAAAATTCCCATACTTTCATCTTTCCCCTGCTTTCCAGATTCTGAATGCTGCCTATCACGTTGAAGTCACATTCCACTCTGGCTCAACAGTAACCAGGATGCTGTGGGAACAGATCAAACAGGTATGCACATGTGATTACTTCTAGTAGGTGTCAGCTTAGTGAATTTCTTGGTGCAAAAAATATTTGAATGCTCATGTGTTCCCTCTAAACCTAGGCTTTGGGCACATGCGTTGCAAAGCTGTTGCTTTCTTGCTTTGCACTAAGGCTGTGTGCATAGTTTTATTCCTGGGAATGATAATGTTTAATTTAAAGCAAATACCCCTTTAATGTTTCTTCCTTCTGTTCTGAAACAGCAAAGGAATGAAGAAGAGTATTTTGAGACTTTTTGCTGTTTATATTTCAGATAATTGCTTGGGTTTGAGGGTTTCTTGCATTTTTCATTTGTTTTGTAATGCTTCTCGATTCAGTTCAATTCACTCTTCTCCCTCCAGATCGGACCAGACTTCTCAGGTCTTTACTTTAAATTTGTCTGTTTAAACACCCATCTTTCTGAAGTTCTTGCTCTAAGAGCTGTTGATGACCTACACGGCCGTCCCCCTCCTGAGTTTTCTGTATGGATGGCTGAGAGGAATGTGGGTTTTCTCCCAAATAGGTGCAGCGTGGACTGAGTAGTAACAAACCTTCAGATTCCTTCATTGGCACAGGGAAGGATCCAGACTGGGTGTGAAGCAGCTGGATTTTTGTGGCTTCTAATATAGGGCGGAGAAGGGCACCTTAATCACCCAGCAATTTAAGGGAAGTGATACATACCAGCACCTAGGACTTCCACACCGCTGTGTCCGTCCACAGAGCTGCGTCACTGCAGCTTCCTCCATTTGAGGAACATCTTTCTTCCCGAGGCTCTGGCTTACTGCGTGTGCTTACAAGCTGAAAGCAGCCTGTTCTGCTGTGAGCTTTGAAGCAGTTCAGAACTGTCTTCCTTAAGATCCCTTTGTTCAGGGGCATTTATTCCATTATGGCTCCAGATGTTTCTGTAGCCTGATCAAGTCCCCCCTTGCTGGGACTGATCCAGCCCTTGCCCTGTACCACAACTGAGGCTGTCCAGGTGGTGGCTGTGTTACTCCATGCCCTCTTGGTCAGATTTGAAAGGGTGACTGGCTTGTAAGAATGGTCAGAGGAGATATTTAGAAAGATCAGATCTCCTATTGTATGTATGCGCGCAACGATACTCTGATCAACATCTCTAAATCAGTCACTGCAAGGTAACTATTTAACCTAATTCTGTGCAAATGCTGGTATTGTTACAGGGTGTCTAAGGAATTTGGGTAAACTGACTGGCCTTTTGCTTTCCTGAAGTACTGCCTTAATTCTGTGTTTTTTTGTTTTTTTTTTTTTTAACTAGATAATCCAGCGGATTACGTGGGTCAGCCCCCCTGCCATCACCAGCGACTGGAAGAGGAAAGTTGCCCAGGATGCTATCGAGAGCCTCAGCGCATCCAAGTTAGCCAAGAGCATTTGCAGCCAGTTTCGAACCAGGCTAAACAGTTCCCACGAGGCTTTTGCAGCTTCCCTGCGACAGGTGAGTGAGGGGCTGTTAAGATGGAAATCCTGTTTTGTACATTGATGCTCTTAGAGGATTTTTAATAGCTGAAGGAGAAGTTTGTGCAGTTAACACTGCTGTTCTCTCGGTAGCAGTGCTAGAGCTGATGCAAGTGCCCTAATACAAGATCCTATTTTTAAACGAGGGATGTTTTAAGTAGGATACTCTACTCAGTTGTGCAGGACCCTCAGCCTTCTTATACCACTAGGGTTTTGGACCAGGCAGGATGACAGCTGTGTGTGATACCTCTTACAGCTAGAAGATGGCCATTCTGGCAGGCTGGAGAAAACAGAAGACCTGTGGCTGAAGGTGCGGAAGGATCACGCTCCTCGGCTAGCACGACTCTCGCTGGAGAGCAGATCCCTCCAGGATGTGCTGTTACACGGTGAGCGCTGTGCTTGATGTTCTCAGTGTTCCCTTCTACGCCCTCCTAGTTCTGAAGCAGTCAGTGGGTGTAAACGGGTGGGAGGGATGTTTTGCTTTGCACTAAACCACTTCAGCGAGCCTCCATCTGACACATACCGAGTACCTTGAGCTGTGCAGCTGCTAGCCTGTGAAAAGCTCCAGGCTGCCAGCCTGCCTGTGTACCTCTTGTAGAACACGAAGGAATAAACACATTTTAATTTCTGATTACGTGGCTGTTGTGCCTTCCAGGCAAACCAAAGCTGGGCCGTGAGCTGGGCCGAGGACAGTACGGCGTGGTCTATCTGTGTGACAGCTGGGGAGGGCATTTCCCTTGTGCACTGAAATCTGTTGTTCCTCCAGATGAGAAGCACTGGAATGACCTTGCACTTGAGTTTCACTATATGAGGTGCGTGTTGTAAGTGCTTTTCTCATTCCGTACGGATGTCCTTAAATTCACTGCTGCAAACAAACATTATTTGCGTAGGCAGAGCCTTGCTTGCTGTATTTCTACTTCGCACTCAGTGAATTGACCTCGTGAAATGCCAAGCTGCAGTTTCTAGCAGAGGCAAGACAGTTTGCTGGTGTCATTGCAAAATGCAACAGGCACACAACGGTGGGCAGGCAAGCTCTTTCCTGTCCTAATCTGATTCTCTGGTATCTATACTGTTCCAATGCTTGCTGGTTTTCAGATTAAATTAGAATTAGTGGAGTTTGATAGCAAACAGTTCTTTCTCCCTGGATTTCTGGTGTTCTTTTTCCAATCTTTGTCTTCTCTAAGGTCACAAAATAAAATGATGGGTCTGCACTACAGAAACTGACTTAGTCTTCAGTTAAATTGCTGCAGGCGGGAGCTGCAGTAGAGGCAGCTGAAATAATAGTGTTTCTTTGGTACTGCAAGCTTTAATAGGCTTTCCTGAATCTGATTAGATCAGATGGTACTATACTGTTACGGTCATCAGAGCTGTGGGTGCTGTGATTACACACGTGATATGGGGATAGCATTGGTCTAGGTGGATCTTCCTCTTGTTGTACTGAAGTTGCAGCTACTGGGTGCTTTTCCTTTAGAAGATGAGGCTTGGGGCTGGAGAGAAGGAGATAAAAACACCACCTTTCTGTGCTGAACTTGTTATAGGTCTCTACAGTCACACGAGCGGCTCGTACATCTCCATGGTTCTGTGATAGATTATGGCTATGGAGGAGGTTCCAGCATCGCCGTCCTATTGATAATGGAACGGCTGCACAGAGACCTCTATACAGGACTGAAGGTAACAGCAGTCTGTGTGTGTGTGCATTTTAATATATGCATTTAAAAAAAAAAAAAGCCTAAATATCTGTTCATCTGTGAAACTGGCTGTGTTGAAGTGAAGCAAGAGGTGTGGTTCTGTCTGCCACGTCCCTCTTCTGAAGGGGAAAATTCTGTATGCTAAATGCAGGGTCATGGATTTTTTATTATACAGATATTTATATTTTTTTTTCCTGGGGTGTTCTGGGGTTGTACACAGCATCAGAACTAGACTTCATTGGTGCAGTGGTATATATTCCTTGGTCTCAGTCTGTGTGCTGGAACATCTTGTATTGCTGCAATGTCAGAAGTCATGTGGCTTTGCTCTTGGCCTTCCTGTCTGCCTGTTCCTTGGGCTTTCACTAAGCTCTTCTGTCTGTTTCCTGAAGGTTTCTAAACTCCTCAAGTGTGCTGTGGCTACAGCAGCATGCCTATTGTTGTTAAAAGGTAATAAGCAAGACCACCACCTCTCAACCTGGTAAAACCAGTGCATTGTGAAAATAGGAGTAGCTCCCCTTGCTTCTGTTGCCTGGTGATTTTTTTGGGGAGGATGGTCTTGCAAGAGTTAAGAGTTGGATTTTGATGTTTTCTTGATAAGTGGAAGTCACTTTTGCTTACTCTTATTTATAGAAATTGTCTGTGTTTATTTTTCCAGGCTGGGCTAGAATTAGAAACACGATTACAGATCGCCTTGGATGTGGTTGAAGGAATCCGTTATCTTCACAGTCAGGGACTTGTGCACCGGGATATCAAACTTAAAAATGTCTTGGTAAGGAAAACTTTTGATCTGACTAATCCAGAAGTTTTATGAGGCCCTTTAAGTGGGAGGGAGGAGCGTGCTATAAATGAAGTAATAGCATTATTCATATATCACGAACTGAAAGATTTTATCGTTAGCAACAACTGGTCTAGCTCAATTTCAGTCAGAGCCTAGGGGAAAAGGAACAGTAGAGTCTCTTCTTGAAGGTAGAGAGCTTGAGCTACAAGTAAGGCTTCTGGTTCCCAGCCTTATTAAGCCCAGACCACACCCTCTGTAGAAGACGAGTGAAGACATGTTTTGTTGCTGAGCTTAGCTAGGAAAGTGTCAACGAGCAGCCGAGCAGTCGGAGAAGCTTACTTGAGAACAAATGCTCAACCCTTCAGACAGACATAGCTTAAAACTGTAATGTTAAAAAGCAGTAATACTGCTGGGAAGTGTGATTCTCAGTTGCCTTTGTATGAATTCTTCTACAGCTTGACAAAAAGAATCGAGCCAAAATCACTGACCTGGGGTTCTGCAAACCAGAAGCTATGATGTCTGGCAGTATTGTAGGCACACCTATTCACATGGCTCCTGAACTTTTTACAGGTATGCGTGTGGATTGAATCCACTACTGTCTTACTTTGACTTGTATTTTGCAGGCCGTTACTTTAAACGAAGACATTAACTTGCTTATGAAGGGAAAAATTATTTAAAAATGGGTCAGAAGACTGCTTACAATGCATAATATGTATTGTTTTTCTGTTTTTTAAGTCTTAAATCTTTGCTTACTTGAAAGAGGAGAGACCTGTTGGATTCAGAAGCTTTGCTGAGGTGATCAAAACTCTTACAGTTGGAAAGTTAGTAGTTATTAGGTGGAAATATTTGGCTTTCACAGGTTAATACCTCAGAAAGGATCCTCTGTTTTTTGTATAGCTGCTGACTAAAGGGTTTCTGAGCTGTTGTGAACACTTGGCATATGTTCACATTCACTGTGTTGTGCTTCTGGCAGGCACTTTCTCTAAAATTGAAAATTTCCTATGCAAGCATCCTGCAGTAGCACTTAAAGGTCCACATCAGGTTCAACAGAGTCCTTCTGGCCTGAGATGGTTTCCCTGCTTTGACAAAATTGCAACCAAACTGAAGCAATCCTATTTGTGTTAACCTAGAAAATATTATTCAAGTGGTTCTCAGCACTAACAATGAAATACTTGTGACTAGCAGCCTAGATCTTGATCTTACAAAGACGTGAGTATGGGCTTAGCCCTTACGCACTTACTGTGCTCAATCTTTTCTTATTCAGTGGGTGACCTTGCTATAAACCAGTACCTGCCAAACTTCTGGATTGAGAGGCTGCTGTTAGGTCTACGAGCCTCAGTTGGGGAGCTGCTGGTACACGTTAAGTGTACAAATTCTCTGAGAAGGGAAGGTCTTCATTTCATCCCTCCGCTTTTAGCAGTAACTCCTGTTATGCTGCTAGGCTTCATACAAGTCCTTCCTTCTGGCAATGAAGTTGTGGTTTTAATATGAGGATGTGGAACGCTGAAGTAGTTTTGCTTGGTTTCTAGTGATGAAGATATTTTTTTTGCCCTGCTGATCAGATATATTTATTTGTCCCAGGAAAATACGATAACTCAGTGGATGTTTATGCATTTGGCATTCTGTTTTGGTACATTTGTTCGGGACATGTGAAGTTACCAGAAGCTTTTGAGAGATGTGCAAGCAAAGATCACCTCTGGAACAACGTCAGAAGAGGTATAAATGGCTTATGTTGAACTCTGTTGGGTGACACAGTGCTTGTGTAAAACTTGAGGGGAGGTGAGGAAATAAATTTTTATCCTCTTGTTAACTGAAAGGTAAAAATACAAGTTGTATTCTTTCATTGACTATCTAAAAATTGAAATTTATTTATATCTTGGAAACATTCTACTGAAAACCTAGCTGAAATCAGCAGGGATATAAGGAGCAGGCTTTCTTTTAACTACCTCCTCGCCATAGTGTCACAGGAGCCGTGCTAACACCACCTAAACTAACCCCCGCGCAGCAGTTCAATGCTTATGATGTAAACTGGATCCCAGAATCAGCCAGCCATGGCCTGATTCCCTCAAGAATGCTTTAATCCCTCGCAGCTCCTGGAGGCCATGGAGATCTGTACATTCAAGTGCTAAAAGTGCAGCTTCCAGGAAGCTGTCAGTGGTGGGCTGCATGTTGAATAAAAGGCTGATGGTTGTTCCCCAAAATATAAACTTAGTTTCGCATCAGGCCGCTGTAGGGTTAGCTGGGTACTGTGTTCTGAGGTAGCTCAATCCTTCATGCTGCAAGGTGATGTCAGAACGCTTTCACTGCTTTGTGTCCTTAGTTGCTGTCCGTATAATCTCTCCCCTTCTCATGTGAGAAAGATTAACGCAGATGAGTGAATCTTGTGTTTGGTCAGAAGGCCACGTACACTGCACTCACTGCTTGTTCCCATGATGAACTTGCTCCCAAAAGTACTATTTTATTTATTTTTTTTAGCTGGGGAGAGTACTCATTTTGTTTCCAAATAGTGAAGAGGAGCTTTTCAACCTGCACCAAAGAAATGAACATCATCAGACAGTTTTCTGTGCTGGTTGATGGTAACTGGGTGCCTCTCCCTTTTGCAGGAGTTCGCCCAGAGCGCCTTCCCGTGTTCGATGAGGAGTGCTGGCAGCTGATGGAAGCCTGTTGGGATGGAGATTCCTCCCAGCGCCCTCTCTTGGGGATTGTTCAACCTATGCTGCAGGGGATCATGGACAGGCTCTGCAAGTCAAGCTCTGAGCACCCAAATAAAGGGTTGGATGACTCTACTTGAAAAGGAAGCACAGAAGAATTCTTGATTATGGGAGAATTCTGAACCCCTAACTCTGCAGATGGCTTCTTCAGATGCAGCTTTTTGTGGCTAACATGAGTGGGACAGGTAATAGCAACCAAAAGGTTGCTTGTAGAGGTGCGACTCTGGGCATGTTTCATCTTGAACAGAGGCCAGAGAAATCTCCCTGGGACACCCTAATGATGCTAGTTACCCCGCTGCAGCTTTTATTACGGAGTGGCACAAGTAAAATAGAAAATCCACTCCCTTGAACTGAAAGGGGTTTTTGCCAATCCCACACAAACACCAGTCAAAGAAAAGCATCTTGTGTGTTTGGGTAGCATCTGTGTTGCTCCGAGCTGATCGTGACAGTCTTTACTCAGTAAAGTAAAAGCTCTCTTCCCATTAACTGATGGCCCTAGGTGGCCTTCAGTCAACACGGAACTATCCCAATCACTTAGATTGGCACCAATTACAGTGCAGTCAGAGTGGAAAAAAAAAAAAAAGAGGCTTTAGGCTTGAAGGTGTTTAGAAGCTAAGAGTGTCTATCTGTATTAGCTTCTTGCAACACTCCAAATGTTTACATTGACAGGAGCAAAGCTTCCATGTTTTACCTAAGGGGGATTATGTACTGTTCCACTGCAGTTAAAATACCCCAAGTTATAAGCTATTTATCTCTTATGTACCCTCCACCCCTGAGTTCTGTAAACAAGCTCTTTTCTGGTAGTTTTGCTTCATAACCGTTATTTAAATATCTGAAGAAACCTGACCTTTCTTTTTTACAGTCTTCTGGTAAAATGGAAGACTGCTCAGAGATTACATATTGTAATAGAGAAACATAAAGTCATTACATCTAATGACTGTCCATGGGGGAAATGCCAATTCATTTTAATTAAATTTGGGCTTTGAATTCGTTGTGAAGGCAGTAACAGTTTTAAATTGTGCTAGCTACGACAGATGTATTTTTAAAATAAGGTTTCTTCAGCTTTTTTAAATTCACATGCTTGGTGAGAGCATAGTTGAGGGAAAACAGGTCATTCATTCTTCAGTAGCTGTGTATTGTGGCCATGTCCATTCATCCGATTGCTTCACTCTGGGATCTCTAATTTGGCTGTATTGAAAAGAATAAAAAATGGGGGGAGGGAAATCCTTGCAAGGAAGGTATGGGTTGGGATGATCCTGGTGCCCTTACGAAGAGGGCTTCTCTTGAAAATATCCTTGCCCCTTGTCTTTTGCATTTCTAGGGCAACATTCCTGTGGGGTGGAGGCTGAAATAGAAACTGCACCTTGTTTACTACGTGAGGAAATAGTGAGTTGGCAAGTTCTCCCTAAGCTTACTGTTCTTCCCAGCTGCAGGGGATAGTCACCAGTGGCTTTGTTTCCCAGGAAAGCTAACATGCTGCATCCAGAATAGTGTAGGCATGTGGAATTCCTGCACCCTGTTGCTGGAATTTATTGTCTAGTACACAGCAAAAATACAACTGATAATCTGCCTGTTAAACAGCTTGAGCAAAGGAAAGGGATACATAACCCTGCAGTATTAGTTTAGTTTAAATCTTCCCTTCTTTGTGCAATAAACAGAATTAATGCTTTTTTTTTTTTTTATATATATAAACATTTTTTACTTACCTGCATGTGTGGGCATTTTTCTGGTCTGGGATGGCATTACCAGGGCGGTTCTGTACAGCTACAGCTTCTCCAGCTGCCCCAGCCCAAGGTGCAGCGACCAAGAACCACATGCGCAGAAGAACGAATACTTTTCCGAAGTAGAATTGCGAGGCATTTCACTGCCTTGGTGCACGTCCATGCCACCAATGACACTAATAGTATTAACTCTTTTACTGTGTGTGGTGGTTAGTAACCTTACCTACAACTAGGAGAGTCGACGTCAGTCTCTTGCGGTTAATAGAGATAGCTTATGTAAATAATAAATGTATGAATAAAATTTAAACCTCTGTATATGCAATTCCAGAAATGTCTTGTATAGCTTTTCCTATGTACTATCTCCAGGCACTTATCTCATGCATTTTTTTTGTTTGTAGCTACGTTGATGTCTTGTTTCCATTTGGTTTGTCTTCTTGCATGTCCAGCATCACCAACCAGCAGGTTTACTCAGACTTAGCACTGCTGCTCCTCTGCACTTTTTTTTTTTTCCTTGGGTATAAAGTTCTTCCTGGCTCAAAAGAAGTTGAGAGGCTTCACATGTTCTCTGTTTATCCTTCAAATCACTGTCACTTAAAGCAAGGAAAACAAAGCTCATGATAACTCAAACATTCTCCAATCCCATCCTGGTGTGCAGCTACATGACAAGAGGGGGAAGTGGGACCAAGCCCAAGTCCTGTTCACCTTGTGCAGTGACCTGAGCAGGTTCTCTTCTCTCAGACAAGGCTACCTTTACAGTTTTGTCTGCTGGAGATGTTTGTTAAAATATGTTTTAAAATGAGGCTGTGAAAGGGTACCTGTCACTGAGGCCTTGTCCATTGTACCCCTGCCTCACCGGGCTGCTGTGGTGGATGGGAACAAACTGGGGGGTTGTAAACCAGGGCTAAAACTGCCAGCACCTGGGGCTGAATGCTGTGAGCCTGGGGGCCTGCCCTGCTTAAAGGGGAGCTCAGGCTGAAGATTTGGGGGAAAATATAACAAAACCGCTGTGTTTACAAAAGTGACTGTGAGGTGTACGGGTCCAGGTGGGTGAGGAGGCAGGAGCCAGGTGTGAGCACAGAGGGAGAGGTGCTGGGACTGGCTCCACATTTGGGATTTCCCAGCCCCCTGCTCAGCCTTCCCTTGCAGCCACAAAGCGGGGAGAGGTGAGCGGGGAGAAAACCCCCATAAATGAGGGAGGGCACGGGGCGGGGGGGCACTGGGGGGCTTTCAGGGGGAGCTGGGGACACTGGGTGGTACTGGGAAGGCCGTGGCAGCGCTGTAGCACCGCACCTGCAGAACCCAAAGGCCCAAACACCTTAATTAGGGGGGTTAATTACTGCCCATAAGGGCTCGCTGCGGAGCCCCCCCCCTCCCCATCATGTCCCAGGGCCCTGCTCGGGGCTCGCAGCTCCCTGGGGCCGTGACAGCGGCGGGAGCGGGGCCGGGCCTTCATTTTGCGTTTTATTTTGTGTTTTGTTTCGTGTTCGTTTTATTTGATTTCGCGTTTTGTTTTGTGTTTGTGCGGCCCGCCCCCGACGGGGACAGGAAAACGTGAGGAAAACGCAACGAGCCTACTGCGTGTGGAAAAAAAAAAAAGCACAATAACCATCAGACCGGCCGAAACCGTCGTGTTTTTACTAAATATTTTTTAATTTTTATTTCCTGTTGCTACACCCGCGGGGAAGCCGCACCTTTCACCCCCCCCCCCCCCCCGCCTTGGGCCGCCAGCGGCGCCCCCCGGAACCTTCGGGCCGCGGCCTCGGCGCCCGCCCGGCACCTTTGTGCGTGCTCCCCCAGCGGGCTGCCCGCCGCGCTGCCTGAGCGCCGCCCCCGCCCCGCCGCCGCCAAACGGAGCGGAACGGAGCCGCCGCCGCCCGGCCGCCGCCGTGGAAGCCTTTCGGGGCCGAGCGGAGAAGGAGGGAGAGGAACCTGAGGATCCGGCGGAGGAAGGGAGCGGCGAGCCGTCAGGCGAACGGCGTGGGCGGCGCGGCGAGGCGCGGAGGCCCCCGGAGGGGTCCTTGTGGGACGGGGACGGAGGGAGCGGGACGGCGCCGCGATGAACCTGGAGCTGCTCGGTGCGGCCGGGGGGGGCGGGGCCGGGCCGAGCGGGGGGGACCCAGGGCCGGGGGGGCCCGGAAAGCCAAGGGGGTCCCAGCCGGTACCGGGAGGGCGTTAGGGGGGTGGGGGAGCCCTGTGAGCGGCCCTGGGCCCCTCAGCTTGAGGATAGGGAGGGCTGAGAGGGGCTGGCGGAGGGGCTGGGGTCCTGTGAGGGGGTTGAGGGGGGTTGGGCTGGGGAAGGGGAGGCTCAGGGCAGAGCTCGTGGCTCTCTGCAGCTCCCTGAGAGGGGTGCGGAGCTGGGGTCGGCCTCTGCTCGCAGATAACCAGGGATAGGGCTAAAGGGAACGGCCTGGAGCTGTGCCAGGGGAGGTTGAGGTGGGCAATGAGGAGCCATTTCTGCTCAGCCAGAGTGGGCAGGCGTTGGGACGGGTTGCCCAGGGAGGTGGGGGAGTCCCCGTCCCTGGGGGGGCTCCAGGAGAGGCTGGGGCTGGTGCTTGGGGACACGGCTCAGTGGGGACAGTGGTGGTGGAGGTGGTTGGAGCAGATGATCCTGGAGGACTTCTCTAACCCTAATGATTCTCTAACTCCGGTGCTGTCTTCGCATTTCATTGCAGAATCCTTCGGGCAGAACTACCCCGAGGTAAGCGCCCCCTCTCCTACACCCCTTGTCCCTGTCCTTGTCCCGCTGCCAGTGGTTTTCGGCCAGACCCTGACTACCCCGTTCCCCGCAGGAGGCCGATGGCACGCTGGACTGCATCAGCATGGCCCTGACCTGCACCTTCAACCGCTGGGGCACGCTGCTCGCCGTGGGCTGCAACGACGGGCGCATCGTCATCTGGGACTTCCTGACCAGGGGCATCGCCAAGATCATCAGTGCCCACATTCACCCTGTCTGCTCCTTGTGGTGAGAGAGGACTGATGTTTATTTTCTCCCAGGAATGCTGTAGCTGTATGCTGAGTGCTCTCTGAGCTAATAGCTACCTCCTCAGGAGCCACCAGGTGTGAGAGGCTGCTCTCCTTTTCGTCAGGATTTGCCCGTGTCTGTGTTTGCTGGGGACCTGGTGCTGTGAGAGCCCAACTGCTCTTGACACCTGTTCCTATTAGCTACTGAAACACAGCACTTTGCGGGATACAGAGTTGCATTTTAGGATGTATCCCTTTAAAATAGCATGAGAATATGGTATGTCTGCTGAGTTTGGGGTTGTTTAGAGTTTAAAAGTTGTTTTTCACACTAACGTTTTTATAGCTGAACCCAATAATTAGGTCTGATAATTTTAAGTGACTCTTGGTGGACACATTGTATGCATTTGAGAAGTAACTTGTACTTGGATTCATTCTTGTCACTGTAGCTGGAGTCGAGATGGTCACAAATTAGTGAGTGCTTCAACTGACAACATCGTGTCACAGTGGGATGTGCTCTCTGGAGACTGTGACCAGAGATTTCGGTTTCCTTCGCCTATCTTGAAAGTTCAATACCACCCTAGAGACCAGTAAGTCCTGTGAAAAAAAAAGTTTGAACGCTCTCCTTTGGGTAAAATTAATGGTTATTAAAATACTTCACTGTGTTTTGCAAAGTAGGTGCTTTCAGCGTGTCTTCTTTATGTGATTGGATTTGTTGTGGCTCTTCTTATTATGAAAGTATCAGGAAGGGAGTAAACGTGAGAATGATTCTTAAAACTGTGCATAGAAATGTCTTGTTGAGTTTATAAGTTAACTTTATAAACTTAAAGAAGCTTCCTAAGAAAGAAAGGAAGTGAAAGAAGATACCAGTTAAATGTTATTTTGCAGTGTAAGACTAGAGAAAACATATTCTATGTAGCTCAACATAGATTGAGATTTTTTTTTTTTATACTTCTAAATGTGAGAACTGTTTTGGAGAACAAACTATTAACTCTTTCTTTTCTGCTTTGCAGAAACAGAGTTCTGGTTTGTCCCATGAAGTCTGCGCCAGTGATGCTCACGCTGTCAGACTCCAAGCATGTTGTTCTGCCTGTGGATGACGATTCTGATCTCAACGTAGTGGCCTCCTTTGACAGGCGAGGGGAATACATTTATACGGGCAATGCCAAGGGGAAGGTGAGACTGTAGCAAGAGGCACTGGGTGCAGTAGCTTAGATTATTTCCTGTCTTTATCAAGGTGCTTGATGTCTCTAGGTTGCGTTCTTTGCTTTAATGTACAAGTAAGGCTTCCTCAATGTGTCTCGAATAATTTGATATGATGTTGACACGATCATCTGCACCGTCACATTTCGTCTTTGAAGATCTGTAGCATCTTTGTAGAATCTTTGAGTTAGGCCTTTGTGTTCCTGTTGTCTTTGACAGTATTTGTTGGATCCTTTTCCAGTGTAAATAAACCAATGTTAGTGTTGCAGAGTTGTCGCAGAAACTATTGAAGAAACTAAAACTACAGTTGCAGAGCCCCAGCTATTCCTGTGTAGATTGCTGAGGCTTCTGTTTTCAGGGTTAGCAGCAGATGTGAGAGGTACCGAAAGTGGGGTGAGTCATAATGAGGACACTGATTGCCTTCTGTTTCCTTCATCTTCAGATCTTGGTCTTAAAAACAGACACTCAGGATCTTGTTGCTTCCTTCAGAGTGACAACTGGCACCAGCAACACTACAGCTATTAAATCAATTGAATTTGCTCGGAAAGGAAGGTGAGTTATTTATCAAGTGGTATCTTTAAAGATGAGGTGAAAACTACTGATTATACAAGGCCTTAAGAACTGCCACAATTACTTCATGCAACATATTCTGACTCTTTATTTTCTTTTTTTTTTTAATGCAATGCATGTTCTGTGTAATCTTTCCTACAGCTGCTTTTTGATAAACACAGCTGACAGGATAATCAGGGTGTACGATGGCCGTGAAATTTTAACCTGTGGACGAGATGGGGAGCCTGAGCCGATGCAGAAGCTGCAGGATTTAGTGAACAGGTAAGAGGCAGCAGAATGAGTGAAAGCCTGTCTTGAAAAGGTTGTGTTTTGTGCGTTCTGTACTAATGGGAGCACCTGCACAAAGGGTAACTCAGTATTTTGTTTGGTGTAATGGACAGGTGTGTTTATTTGAATCCTGTGAGTCACAATTTGATGTGAAATGTAAATGTTATTTGTGGATGGGAGGATGTAAGGTCTTGGTCTGGAGAACAGTCCTCTGTATTGTGCTGTTGTTTAATTGCCTACTTTGGATTTTTTCTTTTGTATGTAGGACCCCATGGAAGAAGTGTTGTTTCTCTGGTGATGGCGAATATATAGTAGCAGGTTCTGCACGACAGCATGCTCTGTACATTTGGGAGAAAAGCATTGGAAACCTAGTGAAAATCCTTCATGGGACCAGAGGAGAGCTGCTCTTGGATGTAGCAGTAAGAACACTGCCCACTAGTGCTGAGTTTCTTGTTATTTTGCAAACTAAGCTTAGTTCTGTTCACCAATTAAGCTCCTCCTCTTTTCTCTTTCACATCAACCTAGTGGCATCCTGTCCGGCCG